TCACTTTAACTGGAGCAATGGAATCAATGATATCTGCAGCTTTAGAATGGAAACTATCAACCAGCTTATCTACTGAGTTACAGGGTAAAGTGGAAGCAGAGGGATAAGCCTAGGTAGGGTTATTAATTGTACTGTCCATGATAACACACTTTATTAAAACATTTATTTTGGTAATTAAATCAGCTGGAAAAATGATCTGATAGGGCAATTTCAGTTACAGAAACATTAGAAATATTTAGACCTTTGCTGATGACCAGGCTAAAAATATGTCCTCGATTCTGTGTTGGCTGTTTAACATGTTGAGTCAAACTAAAACTTTTAAGTGTATCACACAGTTCTTTTGCACCTTTGTCTTCAGGGTTGTCAACATGTTAATTAAAGTACATGTACATTTTGTTTATAAATAATCAGCATCTCTGGTGAGTGTGATATATTTGATTTATTATATTTTCATGCTTTGTGCGCTATTTTATCTGGTAATTGGATGGAAATTGAATCTGAACACCTCCTTGTGCTTTATTTGTGATTATAGAGTAGAGGATTGCGGTTGTCTTGACTTCTTGCTTAACTGACCTCTGTATTCTAATCCTTCTCTTGGTTATATCTGTGCTTGTTACATTTCATATTTGAATTTGAAGTGAAACCCTTTGTATTAAAAATATCGTATGTGCATTCACTTGCCAGCAGTGTTGGGCACGTTACTTTGAAAAAGTAATTAGTTATAGTTGCTAGTTACTTCTCCCAAAAAGTAACTGAGTTACTAACTGAGTTACTCCACAATAAAAGTAACTAGTTACTAGTAAAAGTAACTATTGCGTTACTTTTGCGTTTCTCGCCCCCGTAAACCTCACCACCCAGCCCCCACCTTCTCACCGTGTGTTTCCAAAGCCAGCTGAATAGAGCGGACGACAAAGACAAGAACCTGCAGAGAGTTAAGCATTTATTGCAACTCAACGTAAATGACATCAGGGGGGAACGCGATGTAAAGTTTTATAACAGGACATTCAGATCCGGTGAGTATATGAAATTAATAACTGGGGATGTCTAATTCTGAAATCCTGTGTGTTTGGGTTGTTATAGATACTGCAACATCTATCTATCTATCTATCTATCTATCTAGATGTATACTCTGTGTGTGACATAAAATATGGATCTCCATCCCTGCCACAAAGGCCATCAAATAATGTTTAAAATAAAAAATACAGTAGGTTGAGAAGGCAGAGTATCCATCCATCCATCCATCCATCCATCCATCCATCCATCCATCCATCCATCCATCCATCCATCCATCCATCCAGATTTCTCCCTTTCTCCATATAGGCTATCATTTCTGGCTGTTGTCAGGTTCATTTGATCGTTCCCGCTCTCCACAGTTCTCCTGTGGCGCGAGCACAGAGCGACTGTTGCGCGCCTTTAGCGAGCATGCGCGTTTCATGTCGCTTGCGCGGTGACTCTTGCCGCCTGCGCTGTGTGGAGATGCAGAGGAAACCGTTATGTGATGGGGAAACGCAGCTCTACGTAACACCGGTATTTCCATGTGGAAAACGCTGTTTTGCTGCTGGAGTCATCCTCACTCTCCATCTCTCTGTGTGTGCTGTACGTTAACACCCGCCAGCAGAAACACCAACCTATTCAACTGACAGACGGATTCTCATCCTCCCCTCTCTCATGACAAGGCGCGCACCTCTGGATGACCTAAAATAAATCTTTAATATCTCTTAAACAAAAGTAGCACAAACAATATTTTTTTCTGCACAAATCTGCACTAACGTTGCACTAACCATTCAGTCTATTTGCAGAGTTTTTTGACGTGGGTGGGGTGTCAGCTTCACGCAGCTGCGCACGAGTCCTATCATGAAAAAAGGTTCATTGTGCGACCTGAGTAACGCGCAGTAACGGGGTGTCTGCAATGGTAACTGCGTTATAGTTACAGTCAAAGTAATTAGTTAGATTACTCGTTACTAAAACAAGGTAACGGCGTTAGTAACGCCGTTAGTTTCAACGCCGTTAGTCCCATCACTGCTTGCCAGTTATAAAACATTCAGTGAACAGGAACATTTGGCAAACTCTTGATTCTGTTAGAACTGCTCTCTAACAGTGTATGTTATAATATACCCATATATATATATATATATGTCTTATAAGTTGAGGGGTGTACACTGAAAATGTATGTACCAGATGCATCCAAAACAGAAAAAAAAAACTTTAGATGCATTTAATTTTAAACACTTTGGGAGAAACCATTTGGTGATTTATTAGTGTGTTTATCTGGTTTCCAGCTTCTAAAGCAAACTCCCACAAATCAGGGCTTTTCTCAGCTTAAATGATCTGTCTTTGATGTATTTCAAGAAGTTATTTTTACAGTTATGAATAAAATAGTTATTAATTTTAACTCTGATAATAAACAAACAGTTTTTTATTTATTTATTACTCTTAATCTTAATGTGTTTTGTCTTTGTGATTATTGACGAGTTGTTATAGATCAAAGCCAAGCTGATCTCTGGTTCACACATCTAAAGCAGCCATTAAGCTGAAGTTATTTATAAAATAAGCACATAATCTATTTTATATGCCTCTAATCCCTCAAGATCCTTCACATCTGCAGATGGTGAAAGGTGAACCTGAGGTGAAGGCTGCTCCTCTGTTTCTTTCATCCCAAACACATAAAGATTTCTCCTCTGCATCTCTTCCTCACTCATCCCTCCTGCTGGCTCTCTTTTATATCAGCTGTGGGATCACGTTCTCAGAGCTCAGTCAGGTTTAATCACCATCTGATCATGCTGCTTCTATCAGACATCACTGTAACTAAGGGGAAAACGCAGAAGGGGGCGGAGGTGAGAGGAATACCAACCAGGATGCTGGATCAGGGATGATCACATTACAGTAGTGAGGGATCAAACTGACAGTATCAGGTTTAATTTGTGTCTTTATTGCCAACAGATGCATCAAGGAATTCATCCAGGAGCCTTATGACGCTCACGGAAATTCAGGAAGAGTCAGCATTGCTTATTTGCACAATTTACCTCCAAAATAATTAGGAAGAAACAGCTGTCCTGTTTTAATGCTTCATAGTTTTTAACTCCAAGTTCTGCATGAATCTAAACCAGCTTGGTTTGAATTTGTTAAAAGGGAGAGTTGTAAATATGCTTTATAATTACAGGAAATCTCTTCTAAATATCTCGAATATTGATTTAGGTATGAAACCACAGCAAGGCTGCAGCATCTGATATAAAAAAAAAATTCTTTGCATACCATCTTCTCTGCTCCTCATGGAGCTACACTGACATCTGCTGGCCATAACGGGAACTGCATCATGATTCGTCAAAAGTGTTCAGGATTGAGAGCAAAAAAGAAAATAGTTTGAGGATGAGAGGTTGTATAAATGTGCAAACTCTTTCGAGATAATATTTTCCCTACTATTTTCCATAGCTGTTGGATTTTCTGCTTTGCAAAGAAAACAGCAATTAAACAGGACAAACTCACTACAAGTATTTTGGGAAAAGCAAACATTATCATGACTAATATTATTATTATTTTACTATTACACTATTATCAATATCATAACAATTTTCACAATAACTATGATTTTTGCTATTATTAGTTCTAAGAATTAATTTCATTGATATAACATAATTTACTAATGTAATTAACACTAATTTAAAACTTTCTATAAATTTTGTCTACACTCTAATGAATACAATGTATAAACTTTCAGACTGCTTTTCTCTGCATTGATGTTTAGCTCATTTTTCATTTATTTTTAGCAATCAGATTATCATTTATCTTTACCCTTCAAGGTTTGTGAATATGTATATGCATGTATAATTTCTCCTCTCTACATGTATAAAATTTCTACTTTTCTTGTTTGTTGTAATGCAGAATTTATAATAAAACAGTAAACATCTATTGGTTTAATTTTATCAAGCTGAGGGGTTGGTGCTCTTTCAGTCGGAACTGGGGTTTTTATGTACATGCATCGAACACCTTAAAATTTTCCCCTAAAACACCAGAAGATATTTAGACTTTCTGGTGTGCTAAATTTTCTGTTAGATACTGATAGACTTCTACCAAAGTACAGCAAATGCTAAAACTAAATCAATGTTTAGTGTTAGCTGTAAGCAAGAGTCTGGGATGCTGGGGGCTTGTTTCCACTTCAGATGCCTTCTTGATAATGTGGGGGGCTCCAAGTGGATATTGTCATAACATGACAACATTGTCACTCTTTTTATCCCCATTGTTTGTCATGTTTGTATTGTGCACAGTTAAAAAAACCCGTGTGCAATAGTTGGCTCAGAGATCGTCTGCCTGGCTGTGTTTCCTGGACGGGGCCGCCTTTTAACCCTGCTTTTTGTATCTCTGCTTCTGTCTCCTTGAACCCCAGTCGGCCTCGGCAGATGGCCGCTCACACTGAGCCTGGTTCTGCTGGAGGTTTCTTCCTGCTAAAAGGGAGTTTTTCCTCTCCACTGTCACTACAAGCATGCTTAGTGTGAGGGATTGCATTTGAGTCAATGCAATTAACTGGTTTTCCTTAGATAGAAATGGCTTTGAATAATTTGACTGTGATCTGGTGAACTGTAAAGTGCCTTGAGATGACATGTGTTGTTAATTGGCGCTATAGAAATAAACTGATTTTAATTAATTATTATATTTGAAAATTATAATTGTAAGTGAACTATTTTTTCTTCTATTCTCAGTGTATTGTTTTTCGTTAAGTGAAGTGTAATTTAATTTTGCTGTAATAAGCCAGGCATGTAATTAACTATCTTGCAAACATAACTTGACTTTGTATTTTTATGTCTGAATAAACTTACACTATTTTTTTTTTTTTTTTTTGCATCTGAGATGATTAAAATGTTAAATCAGAGTAAATTAGTCAAAATTATTTAATATGGGGAAAAATATCCACTGTATGGCTGCAAATCGGATAATGGCCAGTAGAGGGCGCTAGCCGTAGCGTTGATTCCCTGCCGCCCCAGAATAAAGCCGCCGAATATGTGGAGTGCGCATGCGCAGTCTGCTTTGTTGTTTGAGTCAGCTGGTGGCTGTCAATCTGATTGACTAATAGAGGAAAATATCAGACATTCAGCAGCAGGACTGAGACATAAATGCTTTCGTCTTTTATAATGAATAAAATGGTGGACAGTATGAATGTGCTACAGATTTAGGAGCGTGCATGCTCTGCGGCTGTGCAGATGGAGGAGGCTTCCTCAGCCATGCTGTGGTCCATCCAGGAGGCTCTGGAGAGGCAGACCCTGCAGATCGGAGCATCTGCCTGCGGAGCCACAGCAGTGGTTGATGTCCTGAAGGCTCTGGGAGTTGATGTGGCTCCAGAAGAAGCTGACCGCTGCGTCAGGACGCGCTTGAGGAGGAACGAGTCTCCGCTGCCTGACTACCTGCTGTCCCGCAGTGAAGCTGGTGAGCTTGATCTGCTCCAGGGGCGGTAATAGGCGGGCCTGGAGGGGGGCAGTTTGCTTTTTGTTTTCCATGTGGGGTCAAAGAGCATAATAATTCAAAAATATATGAATGAAGCAAGATAAAATTATAATAAATAAAATAACACAAAAAAAAGAGCAAAAGTGTATGGTTTAGCTTATTAAGGGGGCCAAAAATGTCATACTATATAGAGCTAAACTAGGGGCGATATAGTTTGTCTAAAAAAGTTTCTTCAAAATAAATATATATACCTGGGGGGAAAAAATTCAAAATATGTTTTTTTTTTACCAACTTTTTTCAGCTTTAAATGTTTTCCTTTTACGCGAACTTTTTTACAGGTTTAATTGTTTTTCAACAAACTTTTTTGAGTTTTTATAAAAAGATTGTCAACCTTTTTTGAGGTTTACATTTTTTTTATCAACTTTATGGCTCCAATTTAGCTCCATAGATTAGACTCCTGATCTAACAGATGAAAACTGTCGCCTTATTTTAAAATGGATGAAGCATGAAGCTGTCATTTCATTGTTAAAGTAAATTATAAAGGAAAAACATTTAATTAATCCAAGGAACAAACCAGTTACAGTCTCCTTTGTCAGCACATAACATTTTCAGAAATGTAATTGCTATTATATTGTAAAAAATAATCTAAATGAAATAAAATAAGTCAATGTGTCCTTAATTTAAGAAGGTGGATAATCTGCCAAAGGAATTGCCAATTTTTCTGTTAAAATAATATTCACTTCAATTTATTTATATAGCACCAATTCACATGTCATCTTAAGGCACTTTACAAGTCAACCAGATCATACGGTCAAATTTTTTCCAAGTTTTCTATCTAAGGAAAACCAGTTGATTTCATTGACACATTGACTTGGATGCAATCCCTCACACTAAGCATGCTGAGAAATATAAATATATGCACTTAAAATATATATTTTTATTCCATACATGTTTCGCATCTGCATAACTTCATACCGTCTATATTTTATTCCAAGAAAAATTGTCTTATATTTGTTTATATTTACCTTCTGCGGTATTTTCTTCATTATAGGGGCCAAGACCAGTTCTGCTGGGGCATTGGCCCCTGATGGCCTCTGTCTGTCTGAACCGGCCATGCATCTTAATACTTTTTTTACTTTTTCTTTTTTGCTATCTTAGGTGTGAGAATTTTATTTTCTAATTTTTTCTAATTTAACGCTACAATACTTCCTTTAACATGTGCTGTGCTTTTATATTTTTATACCATCTGTGTAAAGACATGTTCACTTTATCCCGTACTTGGTTAAACATCAGGAACAAATTAGTTTTTTTATTAAACAAAAAACCCAAGTAAAATACAATAAAGTTTGTAGCTGTAAACAGGATAGAAATGTAAACGAGTTAAATGGTTGAAAAGTTTCCGACATTTCTCTCTTTTCAACGTCTAAAAGGTGCGACCCATGCTCAGCTCATCCAGGGGGCAGAGGAGGCCAGCGGAGGGAAGGCATTGGGTCGGTTCTTCCACCTTTATCCCCGCCGTCGTATCAGGTTGGTCCACTGGCTGGCACGCTGGATCAGAAAGGGCGCCGTCCCCGTGGCGACCATGAACATGCAGCTGGCTGTGCCTGATGGCGAGGAGGTGCCTGACGCTTGGCACCATCAGCTAATATTTGGAGTCGCACCCAATGCTGTGTTTATGACCAACCCTTTGGATGTAGGTGAGTTAGTCCAGTTTTTTTATGCAGTTAAACTTATTGCGCTCTGATCTTCACTGTCATCTTAAAACCCTTTCGGAACACTGTCCTGTGTTTTTATTCAGTCAATGAGAACGAGGTGCACCAGAGACTCTGCAGCCAATCCGTGCTGCTGGTTCGTCGGGAAGACGTCCTGCAGAGGTTAGCGCCTGACTGCTCGCCGCCCGCCTTCTCAGAGGATCAGTCCGACCCACGTTGGCGGGAGCTGGACGTCGACGGTGAAGCCGCTACCTGTGATGCTTCTTTTGCAGACCTTTAAACCAGACCGTTTGATGATGTTTTTCATTTCTTTTAGGTCAAGTGAGAAAAATGATCTTGGAGGAGATGGAAGAAGATGGACCCAAAACGACTCACATTACCATCCCAGCTGCTTATAGTTCAGGAATTACACTGTTTGCACTGAGAGATTCAGAGCTGGGAAGAGAACTTTTCGAGGCTCCTGAAGTTCCTCTCGAATAATCCAGCATCTACACATAAATAAAGTTGGAATAGAAAGCAGGTCCTTTTTATCCACCGACTATTTTTCTCCAGCGAAATATAGAAGTTTTTCTTCTAAAAGCAATAATTACATCAACTACATCAGATCAGATTTTTATGCTATAAAAAGCTCAAAGTTGCTATCAGCATCACAGCTCCAAGTTTGATTTATTCCAGCCGCTCTCAGGATGCATCTTTTGACATGTTAGAATAATTCTCTGGGTTTTTGTGGATCTTCAGTTCTTCTTTTTATAAATGAACTTATTCTTTGTCAGTTTAATAAAAAATTTACTTTATTGTTCACATTGGAGAAATTTAACCTTGCAAAAATGAATATAGCATCAAACTATAAAAAAGATGTAAATGCAGAAAGTTGTCTAAAAATTTACAATTGAAATATATTTTCACACCCTGTTTAGAAAAAGGTATTTACATCTGGCCCATAGCAATTTATTTTTGAACAAACAAAAATAAAAGAAACTAAAACAAAAAAAATTAAATGTGCATACACATTTGTTACACAATGAGCTTTGAAAAGGAAGAAGTTGAAGTTATGAGATCTTATTTCTTTCCCTTCTCATACAAAACAAAAATAGGTTAAACCTTATATTTCTATCGAATATGCAGTTAGTTACACATTATTGTCAGTGGCATTCTTGCACTATATACCATATCTTTAATGAAGTTCCTTGCTGGTTTATATTTACACTTTGTTCGATAACTCCTCTTTGTTACAGAACAGGTTTTTTCTTTTAATTTACTGTTTTGAATTGCCACATGAATTGTTCAGTGTGTTTATGTATGTGTGTGTGTGTATATATATATATATATATATATATATATATATATATATATATATATATATATATATATATATATATATATATATATATATATATATATATATATATATATATTTTTTTTTTTTTTTTTTTTTTTACATTTAGAAATTCTGAGTTTACTCTTTGATATTTCATGACTGCAGTTTTGTGAGTTGCTTTCCGGGGAGTAAAACCTACAAGGATGAGGATATAAAAAGGAAGCAGGAAGCTTCCTATCATAGCTCATTTAACATAAGGACCTGTACAGATTCCCACAATCCTTTGCAAGACGTGTATAATCACATACCATTGGAATATAACATTCTTTATTTTTCATGTGCACACTGTGTGGCACATGAATGTCTACATGTTTTTACCTTTGTCTTTTAAAATACCAGAATTTTCACCAAACATTTGTGTTTGTGTGATAACATGTTTATTTAAAACGATAAATCAAACATCAATTACTAAAAAGTATTTTCTCACATGGCTTCTTTTTACATTTAGTTAAGTAAAAATGAATAGAATTGGTGCTATTTTAACTTGTGTACTAACAAATCTTCAGACAACAATCTGGATTTTACATTTTAACTCGATTAACTTCATATTTCTTGATATAAAAATGTCTGTATACAGATTTGTACATTTTGAGGCTGACTTCTTCATTGATTCTGGTCTAAACTGCTGTTCTGGAACCGGATCGCACCTCAGACACTCTTCCTAGAGGAACCTAGGAAATGTTGGAGCGACATCCGTAAACAACACAGTTTGAACCAGTGAAGCCAAGTTCAGCTGAGCTTTAACACCAGCTGAAGTTAGCATGAAATAGAGGAAAAGAAACCAGGAATATATCTCCAGTGAGAAACTAAATAGAGCAAATTTACAGAGCAGGTACTATTCTTTTTTTATTTATTTGCTGTAGTTCTGCCTGTTAGCTCACAGTTTACTACTGTCCTGGATTCATCTCCTATATCATAGGTGAGTAAAGTTAACTTTTCTTTTTACTATTTTCATAATTAGAGCTACTAGAAACTCATACTTGTGCTTTAGTCATCATTTTGTCATCTACATCAGTATTTTCCTATTTGTTTAGATTAGTAGATTATTCTGCTCCGAGAAGCAAAATATATTGATCAATTCTCTGGGAAACATTAAGTCTCAAGGTTATAACTACTGGTATACCTATAGAGAAGCGTTATTAATATAAAGGCATAATCTCTACTGAGGAAAACAATAGTTACACAATTAAGCAATCATTTGTAGTAAATATATCAGTTACCTTATGTCCTTTTAGCTTTTATTCCTTTCAAGGGTAAAAGTTGGTTTGTGGTTTTATAAATTATAATCCACAGTTTTTGTATATGCAGTATTTAAAGAGTTAAACTACATTGCAACTTCTGGGTTTCATTTAGATAATTTTCAACTGCAGCTGTGAATTTGAATTGACCAGATTTAGAGTTTATTTTTTTATTATTCACTACATTTTTTGGTCATGCTTTTTTTGTCTAAAAAAAGTGTAAGAATCTCAAAGGAGCTGTCCTTGATTCTGTATGGTGTAAGTCCCGCCCCCTGGCCAGCCAAGCAGAATTGTTGAGACTTAATATTGTCCAGTATAAAACAAACCGGACAAATCCAACCGTCAAGATTTCAGCTGCAATGTTTTAATCATGCCCTTTATTGTGTTCTGCTGGAGGTTTCTTCCTGTTTAAAGGGAGTTTTTCCTCTCCACTGTCGCTACAAGCATGCTTGGTGGGAGGGATTGCATTTGAGTCGATGAGTCGATGCAATCAACTGGTTTTCCTTAGATAGAAAACTTTGAATCAATTTGACTGGATGATCTGGTGAACTGTAAAGTGCCTTGAGATGACATGTGTTGTGAATTGGCGCTATAGAAATAAACTAAATTGAATTATCCTGTTTATATATTTAGAAATTAGTCTCCTTGCTGCTGTAGGAGCTTTTTCTAAAAGAAAGAAAACTATATTTTTGCAGGGCTGCACGGCGGTGCAGTTTGTAGCGCTGTCGCCTTGCAGCAAGACGGTTCTGGACTCTTCTGTTTAATCCATAAAACTCCAAGACTCTCTTCCTAAATGTCTCTTCCAGCTGCTCCAGGGGAGGCCATGGGTGTTCTAGGGCGGATGTAAGAACCCCTTAGCTGAATCCTTTTATGTGGAGGAATAGTGGCTCTTCTGCAAGCTTCTCCCAGATCACTGAGGGAGTGCCAAGCAACCCTGTGAAGAAAGCTCATTTCTGTCCGCCTGTATTCAGGATCTTGGTCTTTGAGTCATCCTAAATGTTAGAGACATTCACATACTGGGTGTTCTACTGCTGAACTGGAGCACTTGCCACCATACTTTAAAACAATGATTGGATCCTTAAAGGTATAGTGGAGGATTTTGAAAGAGCATGCACTAGCCCATTTCTCCTTGTGCACGCTCTGTTTATAGTTGCTGTTTGCGTTGCTCACACAAGCTTACTTTCCAAAAGCCGATTTTTGCCATTTTTTCACTGTCAGACTCACCACCAGTAAGTGAAAATGTGGACGAGCACGTAGGACGGCCTTACGTGAACATATCACCAAAATTATAGACAGTTGGGAGGACCACTTATTTTGATGTTCCACCCAGACAAAGAACATCATCCAATATACATTTAAGTAAGAACATGGGTATATTAAAACAACAAATCGTGACCTCAGCAAAGAGGATTAAACATATTCCTCAAAGATTTCTTGGTTTAAACTAAGAATGATCTAGAAATGGTGAATGTTTTCCATTGGTTTCCTTGGGGTTCATCACAAATGGTGCAGTGAAGCATGTAGAGAACCTTCAGGGATCTACTTTCAAAAGGTTTGACTTTGTAACCTTTAGACAGTGTTCCTTTGAGATTCTCACATGATTAGTTCTGTGCGTTTCCATAAAACTATTAGGGAAGGTTCTCTAAAGGCTGACCTGTTTTAATGTGACCTTTAGGAAGCCTTCAGGATACAATTGAGAAAGATTTATCAAAGGTTAAATTGTGTTTTTCTAGAAAAATACCAGGAACATTTCTGACCTGAGTATTTAAAGGACCTTCAGAAAACACTAAAAAGATTTCCTGCGGCTTTTACCAGAGCTCTTTTTCAGAATTTAAAAATTTACACTTTCAGGATACATTCCCTAAAGGGTCCTTCAGAGTAATTTAAAAAAGTAAAAACTCTGTTTTCTTAGAACCACCAAAGACCTCCATATTATTAGGGAACACAAAAGTTGGTCTCAATCTTTTATCTCAGACTTAAATCTTTTGAAGATATGCTAATTGAACATACCTCTTTAATGGCATAATGTGTGGCCACGGCCCCAGCATACTGGAACACCAATGAGAAGGGGAGCTGGGCGGGATCCTTCAAAAATGCCTTTTTTTTTATTTAGTTTACAAGATATATATTTAGATTTAAAGTATACATTCAACACACATAGATAAAAGATGCATGTTCTAGATTAAACATTTGTATTAAAGGCATATGCTTAGATATGATGAAAAAAATGTATTAAAGTTGTATTGAGATTTAGATGTATAGATTTATTTTTAGATTTGATATTTATGTGTTTAAATATAGCATTTGGAATAAAGATATGTTTAGATTTCAATTTTAACATTTAGATTTAGGATATATATCTATATCTCTCTATATATCTATATATAGATATATATCTATCTATATATATAAATATATAGATACATATATCTATAGATATATAGATATCTCTCTCTCTCTCTCTCTCTATATATATATATATATATATAAATATATATATATATATATATATATATATATATATATATTTGAAATAGAAATAAAAAATATATATGTAGGATATTGAAATAAATTTTGCATTTATAATTTACAATTGCCACCATATGTAATTTACACCAAATGTAAATTATTGCATGTAAAATGCTCCCTGAGGATTCCCTAAAGGTTTTCTTTAATTCAGTAGAGTAACAAGAAATGGTTCTTATATCAGAAAAAACTATTTCAAAATATCTGTATTAAGCAAGAAGTAAAAATCTGATGTTTAAATTGTGTAAAAGGGGTACTTTCCCACTGAGAAATAATTTTTTAGGGTGATTTAATTTGTGAAAATCACGTTTAGACATACAATTATGTGATGGTTCCCAGCATTATGAAATAATTTTTAATCTTAATGCGTGAAAACCAA